TGGTGGCACACAGAGCTCTGCCTGGCCTTGGACTGATTCGTTCCAGCTGCTGCTCCTCACATGTAGCCCAAAAACTTGAGGAATAAGGAAATTTCTGGACTGACCATGACTCTCTGAAGGGCTGTTGAGGTACCTGAGCCTGGGGGGTGAGAAGGGGCAGTGGGGTGGTGGCGGGGGCTGGACCTCTGAGGAGGAGAGGTTGCTTACGAAAGGCACGTGAGGCTGCACCCAAAATCCCTTGTGGAGCTCGTGCTAATGCAGAGTGCAGCTGCCACTGCTCTGGAAACAGGCTGCTGGCAGAGGGGTGGCTCCATGGCCTGCCAGAGGTGCAGCTTCTGGAGCCCTGGAAGGTGGGAAGTCGGAGAGAGCTGTATAGAGAGAGAGCTGTCAGATCAGCAGAACTGTGCAGAGGTGTCCCCTCCATTCATCAGCACCAGGACTTGCTTGTTCTCTGCTGGTTTTAGACCTTTTCCTGTGGGCAGAAGTGTGTGGAGCTGCTGGGCAGCAGGCAGAGCCCTGTGTGGCTGGCAGGGACGTGGTGCTGGGTGGAGCCTGAACTGGGCAGGAATCCCAGTTCCCAGGGGTTTGGGGTTTTTAACACTGAGTACAGTTCTTAGTCTCCCATTGATCTTTTAACTGTTAGAGAACCTTCGTCCTGGCTGGTGACTTGTCCCAGTATGTTGGTGTGGGGAAGACAACCTGACCCACGTGGGTGTTAAATGTGTGTGTGCTGCCACAGCCTGACTTTGGGTTCTGTTTACTGTAATTGCCAAAAGGATGTTTGTGATTTCTTTTGCTGCTGCTGCTGCAGGAAGTCTTTGTGCAATGCTAAGATAACAGTCCAGGCTGTGGAAACCCTGATCTGCAAAGACATCCTTCTAAAGGGGACAGAAGAACAAACCTGAAACAGAAAGAGCTTGCAGTGTTTTCATGCAGCTGAAAATGTGACATATATTTCTCTCACAGTATCCCTTTTTTTTTTCCTATTGAAGAAATGGCTGTTAACCAGGAAGTGCTGGAGGAAATGATGCAGCTGAGTTCAGTGTGGTAGGATTCAGTGCAGGACCAAGGGAAGGCTGTAACTTCATGGGCTGTAGAGGCCAGATGAGACATTTGTGGTCCTGACAACAAAAGTTCTTACCAGGGTTAACGACTGCAGTAGAATTAGGGCACAAAATGTGAAAAATATCAAGAAGTGGGAAATCCAGCCCCTGGGTGAGCTGTGCCTGCAGTGCAGGGTGTCTGTGTGAGGCCTGGGGCTCACTCCCTGCTGGAGCCCTGCACTCGGAGCAGTGACTGCAGGTTGCTCTGGAGATGGCAGCAGCTCTGCACCAGGAGCCACACCTGAGATTTCCTCTCCAGGGGCCTGTTCCCAACTGGATGAGGTTGGGGCCTGACTTCATCCAACGAAACAAGCAAGAGGTTTGTTCCTGGTGTCGGGCTGGGCTCTCCTGCCAGCAGCCCTTGCACCATCCTGGCTGGGGAGGGTGATGAGGGCAGAGCACAGGCAGCAGTGGGGCTGTGAGGATCAGCCATCCCCTTCACCTCTCTTCTGGTCCATCCCAGATTGCCAGAGCCTCAACCAAAACAAGAAAAGAAAAAAAAAAAAAAACAAAACACATACACAAACCCCCCAACCCCTTCCCACCCTGTTCTGCCTTTTTTTTTTTTCTCCAATTTTTAGCATGAAGCAACCAAATACCTCAACCTTCCTCTAGATTGCTCAGTTCCTAATACTTTATTTAATAAGAGTAGTTTATGGCCTCTACATTGTCCTATTTTATTATTAAACTAAAAATTATGTTAGTTGCCATACTTGTGGATTTGAGACTGAAAAATCTGATTTTATTTCAAGTATTTGGAGTATTCCCAGCACCACCTGAAGCCTCAGTGCTGCTGCATGTTCCCAGGACCCAGTGGTGAAGTTGCTGACGGGTTGGAATTGGGTTTTCCAGCACTCGGAGCCCTGTCTGGGAGAGGAGCTCTCTGCAGGGCAGCCCTTGGCTCCTGGATTTCTGTCCCAGAAGCAAACAGAGGATTGAAAAGCTTCGTGACTCCAGCACACATGGGAGACGCCGTGAGCCCGGAGTCGCTGGGAGCTGTGGAGGAAGGCTGGAGCTGATGGGCTCCCTGTGCTCTGATCTGCAGCCCTGGATCTCTGCAGAAGGCTCCTGGAGGTGGCAGAGGAGGTTTTAGGCAGTGAAGGTGTTGGAAGTGGTGCTGGTTTTCTTTCACACACCATCAGTTTCCTCTGCTGGCAGCCAGACAAGGCAAGCAAGCATGGATTGTCCCCAGGACCTGCACTGCTGGTGTGACCAGTGCTCAGCCCCACTCAGCACCAGCACAGACAAAAATGTGCTGAGCAAATTGGAGAAAAGAGCGTGTGAGGATTCAGCATAAACTTGTCTCCAAGAATAAAGTCATGCAGCTCCCTCCCCAGCTCCATCTGCACGATGGTCTGTGCTGACACCTCTCCTCTGGGGTGAGAAGAAAGATGCTTTTAAGGGGTTAAAATGAGTTCCAGATACAGAAAAGGATGTGATTTTTAGGGACAACACATCAGTCCCTAGTATTCAACACAGAGTTGGAAGCTGGCTGTACAACAGTTGTCTCTGGAGGGGGGAGTGCTCCTGTCAGAGCCAGAGGTCACATCTGTAGGTGGTAGATGGCACCGAGAGGAAACCCAGAGCTGAAATTCCACCTGTGGGACTCAGCAGGCAGCTCTGAGCCCCACCCAGGGACAGGATGAGGGGTGCCCAGTGCTAAACACACACACACGCTCAAGGGAAGGACGTGGTAACAGAACCAGGTGACTTCCCAGGCTGGCACAGAGCTGGTTTGTGTCCCAGCCAGCTCCTGTGGGGAGAACCACTCCAGCTCCAGCAGCCCGGGGGGACAGGGCCCTGCCAGGGCCCACAGCAGCTCAGAACAGGTTTCAGTTGCTGTGTCTGCAGCAGGAGATGTTTGTAGGACAGGACTACGTGTCACGTGGGATTTAGGAAGGGATGGTCTCCAGAATACACATGGGCAGCAGCCACCTGAAAGCAACATTAAGGAGCTGAGATGATTCTTCTACCAGTCTAGGAATGAACGTGCTCTTTGGAGAGAAAGGTTGAGTTACAACCTTGAAAAAAAGCTTTCTAGAGCTTTCTTCTTTCTTCAGAAGGGAACAAGTTGTGTGCTGAGAGTTCTCTAGGACGTAAACATGTCAGGCTCTGCACCACAGTGCATCAATGCCAATAAAGCTGTGTCTGGAAGAGGAGATGGAGTGGTCACAGCAGATCAATAGAACTGCAGGGTCCACTGCCAGCTTCTGTCTGAGACAGGCAAAACTGCTGTCAGCAGGTCCCAGCAAACGTGGGCAGAAGGAACTAATGTTGTATGGAAGGAATAAAAGCAGGTGTGATGCTGTGATCAGCTGCTGCACCCAGAAATGCAGGTGCTGGGAGGAAGGCTTGCTGCAAGGTGGCTGAAAAGAAACAGTGAAGTGCCCTAAAGTAAGAGCTGCAGCTTCGTGAAGGTGCCTCATGCACCTCAGTCATTCAAGTTCTGGAATGTTTAATTCTACTACTTAATGTTTTTAAAAGGTACTTGGCTGCTCAGTCACACCACTGGGACAGATTTGAGAAGACTGTACAGGCCTCCTAAAATCTGTGTGTGCTGTGCCTCTGAAAATGTGTGAGTAAAAGGCAGTAAAATCTCTCTGTCTACAGAAAAAAAGCATCAAAGAGCATCTCTGGCACAGAGGGTTTGTTGAGGGCAAAACCAACAAACACTGGCGAGTACCTGTTGGGTGTTTGGGCTGCTCTGGTGTCAGTTGGGCTCTGGGGGGTTCATGTTCTTGGTGCTGCCTGGAGTTCAATTTCAAGCAGGCAGGGGACAGGCCAGGCAGCCACCCTGCAATGTCCCCAGCTTGTCCTCCGGGCTGCTGCTGCACCTCTGCTGCTGCTGGCCCCGACTCCTCCCGGAGGCTCTTTGCTGCCTCCACAGCCCCAGGGCAGCTCTGCCTCCTCCTGTGGGGCCTCCCCTGGCTCGGGTCCCCAGGGGAGCTCAGGGGCTCCTGTGCCTTCCCTGGGAGCTGAAACGCCACAGGAGGAAACAAGGTGTTCACCATAAAACCTGTTCTCATGCTAAGAATATAACCTGTTTGTGGTGGCTGAACTTTCTTCCCTGAAGTGTGTCAAAAGAGAAGCTGAATGTCAGAACCCGTTTGGCTTCGAGGCATTTGAAAGGCAAGCTCTAGGCCTGCTGGCTTTGCAGGAAGCATCTGTGCAGAAAATAAGTGAAGAGACCATGCAATACACCAAGCAGATGGGAATTCAAAGCTGAAAAAGCCTGGAAGATCCAAATAAATGTAATTTCTACAAATACAGA